TACCTTACYAAATCCCTGTAAAATGTGCACACAAATCCCTTCTGAAAGTAGGACTCTGAAGAAACTAAAGGCAATATGAAGGGAGAAAAAAAAAAGCCATTTGGTATTATCTGAATATCTAAAAGTGCATTAAAATGAAGCCATGGTCACCAGGTAATCTGGTAGTCTGGTGTTCCCTGATGAGATTAGAGGGGCTGCAAGGTGTAAATTAACAGCCGCTTTAAACCATTTTGACGTTTTTTTCTTTACAGGGCAACGATATTTAAACTCCCTGGGTCCAAAACTTCTCCAAAACTTCTCCAAAACTTCTTCCAAAACTTTCATTAACATGAAAATCAGCTAAAAATGAAGTCTCATATTTTCCCTGCTGGCCGATGGAATAACAGGTTGGAAGTGCAGCTGACGGGATGATCCCTCAATGTCACAAAAACCAAATWGTGCTTGGAAATGAGACACACGAGATTTTTCACAACGGTCCTGAAACATTTTAACCCAGTTTTAGTGAGAGTGGGATGAGGAAGGTCYGGTGCAGCCCTTTTAGGTGTAAATGCAGAAACTGGCAGCTTGTTTGGGAGCTGAAAGCATTTCTTGGTACCCACAAAGGGAGTGGTTACTTAGGATTTCTTATTTTCGAAACAATCACCCCTCAAAACAAATCACCTTTCAAAACAATCGCCTTTCAAAGCAAACACACCCAATTTGTGATGTTTGTTGTGTTGTTTACAGCTCATCACTCAAAGAAGAGCAGCTCCCGAGGGGTGGAAGCAGAGGGGGAAGGGAAGAGGAGAACACTGTAAAAAAAACAGGTAAATAACCAGAATTTTCTTATTCCCAGTGTCTGGAAGGGAAGAGGAGAACACCGTAAATAACCAGGTAAATAACCAGGTAAATAACCAGGTAAATAACGAGCATTTTCTCATTCCCAGTGTCTGGAAGGGAAGAGGAGAACACCGTAAATAACCAGGTAAATAACCAGGTAAATAACCAGGTAAATAACTAGCATTTTCTCATTCCCAATGTCTGGAAGGGAAAAGGAGAACACTGTAAAAAAGCAAGTAAATAACCAGCATTTTCTCATTCCCAGTGTCTGGAAGGGCAATCCTGAGCTCCTTGGGGTGGGAATCCCAGGACAGGGGGATTTTTGCTGCAGCAAAGGAAACAGAGTTCAGATCTTTCCTCGAGCATAAATAAATGAGTGGGGGAAATTCAGCAAGGCATTGAGGAGTGAGCGATTTTCTCTGTTAGGAAGATAATATCTGCTGCTCTAATTATAGCTCGGCACACACGGGGAATCCCCGCGTTACTCCTCATGAAGTCTCAGGGTCTGAGCCGTGAGCTGCTTGGTAATATATGTTCAAGACAAGCCTGTCAAACTAGAAATTATTCTGTTGTAGAAAATAATCCTCCCTCGGTGATTGGTTGCCTTTAAAAACACGATGGAGAGGGATTGGATCCAGCACCAGCCCCCAGATTTGTGTCTGTCCAGTTCTATCAGAGCACCTTGGACCTGCTCTGAACCTGAGMTCATCTGGTCCCACCACACTGCTCAAAGGGCCCCATCCTGTTGGGTTTGAACACCTCGGAAGGGTAAAGCTTTTGACTTTTGGGGGAATAGTTTAACTCTCGAGTAAAATGACATCAGCTCACCTGAGCTACAGCAAAGTTGTACCTTTTAAAATTACCCTCAGCACAAGGTCAGAGTGGGCACACCAGTTCAGATATCTGACAGGAGACTTTTGAGTGACAGTGGTTTGTTAACTGATGAGGYAGGGTGACAACCCATGGGCAGGAAAAATAAATGATAATTTTCTCCTGGGCTCAGAGAGGAGCACAGGATGCTGAGATGAGCAGCGTTGTTTTCCCCCTGGACACCAGAGCTGATGCTCCTCCTCACGGGCAGCTCTCTCCKGGGCTGTAGTTACACAACATGTCACAAAGAGAACAAAAACAAAGTCTTTTTATATCTCCTCACCCATCTGCACTTCCTCTTTMTGAACCAGTACTGCAAACAGAATTATCAGAAGCATCATGTTGGCAAGTATTTTTAGTAAACAGYGAGAGACTCATGTGAACTTGTTCCTCCTTGTCCCTGTGCCCCGAACACACTGCAGAATTTTCTGGGCAGAATTTTTAGAGGTTCCCCTCCATTGCAGGCAGAACAGCTGGACTGYAGCAGCAGATTTAGAGCTTTTCAGGGCTAAGGAATAGTTCCCCCTTGCATGCTAATGTCAGATTAGGATTCCCAAAATTCCAAGGATTGCCGTGCTGTTGGATGTGGATGGCTCTATACACAATGGCTGGCAAAGGAAGGTGATGGAAATTCATATGGGAGAAGAAAATAGAAAAGTTTAATGTTTATTGAATTAAAATGTATTCATGTTTATTGATTAGGAATGCTCCCAAGGGTTTTTAAATTGTCCTAAAATAGGCACACGCATTCCTAAGGGAGTGCAAATGTGGGTGGCAAGATCCTCCTGCTACAGTTTGGGAGGAAATGGGGAGAGAGGTGGAAAATACACTGGAAAAGGTGTTTTCATTTGGTTCCCTGGCTTGGCTGAAGCAAGGAAAGACCATCAACTTCTAACCTGCACCATTCCAAGAATGGGAATATTCATCATAGAAAACACCACCATCCATCCCTTAAAAACCAGAGTGCCCTGTGAAATGGGCAGGGGGGGTCTCTGCAGGCATCACCACCCTGAGGATTTCACCTGAGTGGAATTGTGGCAGAGTTGAGGCAAAGGGACAGTCATTCCTTTGCACATTGAGGTATTTGTTTAACTGGCCCCTTTCAGCTCACACCGGGGTTTGTATGATCCCAGCTCTCACAGTTCCTAGCAGTATTCCCTCTGAGAAACACCCTCATTTAGCTGAGGTGCTGATGTTTTCTCTAAAGAGACCAGCAAAACCAACTAAAGGAACAGCACAGAGTAAAATACAGCATGGAAGGTGATCTCTCAGGTCCAAGTAACTCATCTTCCCACAGAAAAGGTTTCTGGTCTTAGACTTAGGCTCAACAAACACCTTTGGTCAATTTGCAATGGTTCAGCCCCAAATGGGTTCATCCTTTCCAAATGAGGGATTTTCATCTGTTTATCCTCCCTGTTCTGTTGGAAAGCAGGAGAACCTAGTGCCCTTGCAGCAGCAGCCTGCTTCCCTCGGTGCATCTTTCTGATTGCTCCTYACTTAGACACCCTCAGCTCCTAAAAATGGAGATGAAAAACGCCTTCCTGAGGTGGGGTGTGCAAAAAAACGGCTGCAGCAGTTCCCCAACAACACCAGTGACTGCCCCAGCTCCAGGCCCATGGCCAACAATCCTCATTTATTCTCATTTATTCTCATTTATTCTCATTTATTCTCATTTATTCTTTCCAGCTTTCTGAAGGCAGCATTAAGCCCATGAATCTCCAAACGTACTAAATCCTCTTGCCACAGTGGAAAGCTGGGCATATTCACATTTATTTTTCTTGATACAGTATTGAAAGCTTTTCTGGGCACAGCCTTATCCCAAATCAAGAGCAGAATTTGTCTTTTCTTCCTTTTCAGGACACCCAACCTATGTGAAAGTGCYGAATACTCACAAGCAGGTAAAGCCTGTGAGCTCGGTCCAACACCCTCCACCCCTGGCAAAACKTCCATTTCGCAACGTGACTGGGAAGATTAAGGACTCTGACAGGAGGTGTGAAGGTAAATTAAAACAGAAATGTTAATTTGGAGTGGGTGTGGCTCTTCTGAAGTGGATGAAAGTGCTCCTCATTTCACCAGCTCTGGATACACAGCAGGTGCCCYGCTCAGGCTGGGTGTGTGTCCTCAGCTCTCAGCCCTTGCCCTGTTTTCACCAAATCAAAAACGAGCCCGGAGCAATTTTAATTTTAACCTGCTGTTTTTGCTCTGTTAACCAATACCAACCACAAACCTGTTTTTCCTGCTTTCTTGATGGAGAGGGAATGATATCATACAGAGAGGGAGCTGATGTTTGTGCTTGTGCAGGTGAGGAAGGCTGGAAGGGTTAAACAGGCCTGCTTTTGAAAGCAGTGCAGAAAAAGAGCACGACAGTAAAAAAAAAAAAAAACAAAAAAAAAAAAAAAAAAAAATTAAAAATAAAGCCAAAACATGAAAAACTGGCTGCAAAGACAGACTTGGGCAAAAGCTTACTATGGGAAGAGTCATGTACACATATGGGATAAATTATAGAGAAAGGGTATGGATAAAAAACCCATCTTACATGGATATTTAAAAGAAAAAGAGCAAGAGGGGAGGAGAAGAAGAGACCTGGGATGTTGCTAAAGAAAGATGAGGARAAAGACAGACCAGGAGCCAGCAGGAAATGGTGGCAAAGAGCTGCCCCCCTGCCTTGTCCAAGGCCTTTGTGGCACCTTTCYTGCTCCATTTAATACAGAAAAGAGAAGGAAAACACCCGACCCTCCTTGGGGGAGCTCCTGCAGGGCCGGGGGAAGCAGTGACAGGAAAGCAGCTCAGTGTTTATTGCACAATATTCCCCTTGGCTGCCACCCAGGAATTCCTCCGGGTGCTGAGGTGTTTGTGGTGCTAAAGCAAAGCTGATCTACCCCCAAAAAAGAAGATGTGCCCTGGTTATTGCACACCCTGCGAGGGCATCTGCCCCTGAGRGCTCTGTGGTCACTGCTGAACTCGCCCTGTCCTTGGCCACACTCACATTCWCATCCAGCCCCACTCCTGCTGCTGACACCTGTTGTCAGCAGTCGGTAATTTCTTTTTTTTTTTCAGGACGAGCCTGCATTGCCCTGGAGCTCAGAAAGGGCCTTAAATTAGACTTAATTCTATTCAGATGTAGTTAGCAGTATTTAATTAGCACAGTCCTGAAGCAAAAGTCAGTCTGTTCCTTGGATCACTGGAGTGCTTTCTGGATACTTTCCACATTGCTGCAGGAGTCTGACCTCTTTTTTTATTTAATTTTTTTATTTTTTATCTTCTTATTTTTTTCAAGCACTACCAGAGTAGGGGCCACATTTTAACAGACAGATTCCTTTGCAGATGGCTTCCTGCTCGCTTGCAATTGCAAAACTCCACGGAGGCAATTACCACGATTGCAGACATGGGAATGTGACATTAGGAAAGCATTTCATGTATTCTCAGCATCTGCTGCAAACGGAAACCTCGGGGAGATGCTGTGGGCAGGACTGGCTCAAATCAGGTTGGCTGGAAGTTCCCATCCAGCCTGGACTCGACGTGCAGGTGCTCTCTGAGGGCACATCCAAAGGGTGACCCAGCTGGTGACCCAGGGGACACGGATGGCTTGTCCTCTGGTGGTGCTYCATCCGCTGCCAAAGTGAGTTTGGATGAGGAATCAATCCCATTTTAGGCWGCTGAAATGAGGTGACTTGAACCCTGACCCCTGTGATTTTCACAGGAAACTGCCCCAGAAATGATGAGCCAGTGCTGTTTCACCTCCATGGAGTTGCAGGCTGACAAATCAGGAGATCTGCCTGCCTGAGGTACTCCTTCTAACCTCAGCTGGCCACTGAGGGAGAGGGTGAAACAGGGTGAAACCAGCTGGAAATGGTGATGGATGAGAAAAAAAAAACAGCTTTGAAGCAGATCTTAAGTGGTTTGGTTTGGTTGGATTGGGTTGGGTTGGGTTGGGTTGGGTTGGGTTGGGTTGGGTTGGTTTGGTTTGGTTGGTTTGCTTTGGTTGGATTGGGTTGGTTGGATTGGGTTGGTTGGGTTTGGTTGGGTTGGGTTGGGTTGGTTGGGTTTGGTTTGGTTTGGTTCAGTTGGGTTTGGTTTGGGTCAGTTTGGTTGGGTTTGGTTGGTTTGGTTGGGTTTGGTTGGTTTGGTTTGGTTGGGTTGGTTTGGTTGGGTTGGGTTGGTTTGGTTGGGTTGGGTTGGGTTGGTTGGGTTTGGTTTGGTTTGGTTTGGGTCAGTTTGGTTGGGTTTGGTTGGGTTTGGTTGGGTTGGGTTGAGTTGGTTGGATTGGGTTGGTTTGGTTGGGTTGGGTTGGGTTTGGTTTGGTTTGATTTGGTTTGGTTCAGTTGGGTTTGGTTTGGTGGACATTTTTTTAAGAGTCTAGGCCTAGGTTTTAAGAAGTTAGCCCAAAAGGCTGCTTTTTGACCTCCCCGTTCCTCAGGGGTCAAAGTACAACAGTTCATAGCTCTGCTCCAAAACCATCTGGATCATTCCACCACCACAATCCATTTATTCCCATTAACTCCTTTCCTTACTTTCCAGTTTCATTTCAAAGGCCTTGTAGAAGCTGAGCTGAGAAGAAGTGGCAAAGGATGGGAATTTCTTAAACTGGATTTGTGACATCTCAGTTTTGGAGGGGATGGCACAGCACATGACAATATTTAACCCTTTCCCCACCTCCCCCAGGATTTTGGGGAGCTCTGCGGGGCCGTGGTTGCGACAACTCTCTTATGCAACCCCGGCTGCGTCTGCTCACGGCTGCCAGATTGTGGAAATCTGCAAATAATTGCAAAGTCTGCCAGTTTAATTGGATTGTGGTGTATTTGCACAGATGGGTGAAGTCTTCCAGGCCAATATTTTCCAGAGTGACTGAGCAGTCTCACAGCTTTAAGATACTCAGYATGAGAGAACTTTGACGCAATGGGTTTCCACATTTCCAGATTTTTTTAAGAGAAGCACCCCCCAAACTGAAATAATCCAAACCATCAATCACCCAGAAATCCCCTGCACGAGACCTTGAGATGGGGGAATCTCTCACAGTAGCTTGATGTAAGCCAAACTAAATTCATAAAAATAATACAAGACAGCTTAACACGTCATTTGTTCAGCAGAAAAATCCAGCGTGAGTGTGGATGTGTGCAGGCATTTTTACAGGAATTATAAGGAATAAATGAACATYTGTAAAATAAGAGGAGGAGGAAAAGAAAGGCGTTTTATTTCATGTGCGAGAGCCGGCTGTTGTTGTTGTTRTTATTTCTTTTAATGAGGGACAAAATGTTACTGTGGAACATTGTCCCTGTGTGCTCTGGCCCTTTTCCAGGCCCAGAGCTCAGGACTTGCTGGGGAAGAGAAAGCCTTGTACTTGACTTTCTGAAAGATAGGCTGTTATCTCTTKTGAGAGGCTGCAAAGGAAAATAATCAAATTATTTATTAATTAAATATAAACTCTGTCAAATTGYTCAGAAGCAACTCGCCCCAGGACCCAAGCTATAGATGCCCAATATCTGAATTTCCAAAAGAAAAAAACAGTTTATCAACATCATCATCAGCTTTTTCTACCACAAATTTGCAGGGACACAAGGAAGCTGTAGAGGATGCTGCTGTTCTCACTGAGAGCTCCACTCAATCACCTGCACAAAATCTGCCATTTGTAAGCAGAAATAAATGCTTAAACACTGTTAGGATGTTTAGAGAAGTGGTAAGACCAACTTATAATCATTTCAGTTGCATTTTTCAGAGGCAGAAAAATGATGTGGTTACATGCTCTTGGTGTAACTATTTTCCAGAAGGTGCCCTTGGAAGTCTGCATGGCAGGAATGAAGCTGAGGTGCCCTAATGCCACAGTCACTCTTGCAAACAGGACTGATTTCAGCAGCTTTGAGCCAAACYTGGCTGGCTTTGGAAAGCCTTCCCAAATGCTTCTCCAGAGCAAATGTGCAAAACTGAAGCCAACTTTTCACTTGTGTTGGCAAAGTGGGCTCTGGCTCCTGGTGCAAACACCCCTCACTGTCCTGCTGTGTCAATTTGTCATAAAGCTCCTGATCCTAAAGCCGTGCTGCTGCTCTTGGAATCTTCCTTGGCAGCAGAAGGAGCTCCTGGTTCCTGGGGGTAAGGAGGAAACCTCAATAAAGCAAAATAAATCACAAAGAACCCCAACATTTTTTTTTTTTTTTTTAAAAAAACCCAGCACTATCAAATCCCTGAAGCGACTTCACACTCTCAGAGCCACCAGATCCCAAACTCCCCCTTCCCACCAGGCACTCTGAGAAGGCTCCTTTCCAAACACCCTCTGGAGCATTAGGGACAGGTTTTCAAAGGTCAGCAGACCCCTGAACGCCTGTGAGGAGCTGGCCCTGATTTCTGAGTTCTGATTTCTGATTTCTGAGTTCTGATTTCTGAGCAGGCTCAGCGTGGTCTGTTGGGGGCTGAGCAGTCCCTTCTGTGGTTTTTGTTCCCAGCTCTGGGGCTGAGCTGAAAAACGACCCCAGAGTGAGCCAGTGCCAAGGCTGGGCTTGGCAAAGTCTCACTTTGCTCTGAACGCTCACAGGGAGGTAGAAAAGGCTCCTSTCYGGCCTGGGAATCCGGCTGTGCTCGRGTTYTGCAGCTCCCCTCRAATCMACAGGGTGCTCTGGGCTCCAAGAGACACCCCCAGGCCAGATGAGGGTGAATTTTTGGTGAATTCATTGGTTTTGAAGKACAAAGAATTCTGAGAGGTTGGGGATGGCTGGAGAGTGCTGGAGACCCTAAGGAACAGAAGAATTTCTTTTAGGATATTGTTACAGAGATCCAAGAAACTTGGATCCGTGATTTTTTGGGTCAGCCCACAGCTTTTGCTGCCTTTGGGATTTCCCACCTGTCCTTTGCAGGCTCAGGGTGTGGGGCAGCAGGAGAAAAGCAGAATTGCCAGGGCCCCTCACAATTTCAGCCATGTTTTGTCACTGTCACTCAGGTCAGTTATTAAATATAAACCACGATATTTGCAATGCTAACTTTGTCCTTCCCAAACATTTGGAGTGGAAGTTGTTCTCRAAAGCCTTTCAGAGCAGAGATAACAAGGTGACAAATCCTTCAGAGTGACTGAAGATGCAGAGATGTCCCAATTTAGAACAAAGGGAGTAACCCAGCAGCTTTTGAGAGTCAAAATCACAGCAGAAATGTGTGACTCCTCACAAGGGAAACTCAAACAGGGGCATAAAGGGCCTCTCTTTGTCCATCTTTCTCATCAGCCACCGCAATCACGCTTGCAAAATCCACTTTCAGTCTTTGTGTGTAATAATGTCCCATCACTGGGGGTTAATGCCCTGGTTTGGCATCCCAGAGCTGCACAATTCCCTCCTAGGTTGGTTAACACAAATAAGATGTGGTACTGTACAAACAGAGCATTCCCAACAGCTAAAAGTCTAAACAGATTAGAAAAAGGGCGAGGGAAGAAATGCAGGTGCCAAGAGTTGCAGAAATGTGCATTGACAGTGCCAAAGGAAGGCAGAACTCAGATCCAAACCCTGATTGTGATCTGTTACTTAATGCCATCATTTTGGTATGTGAGATGGGTCATCTTCCTTAAAGGGTTTAGAAAGTAGCCAGAGCAGTTCCT